AAAGATGACAGGACAAATCGAAAAACGGGCGGAAAGAAATGAGAGGAGAGTGGAGAAAGAAGCTGGAGTTGGGGCGGAGAGAGAGACCTGAATGTTGCCACAACGGAATCTGTGAAATTTCATCCAAGGACGTTAGCTTACCACACAAGAGATTCGGACCCTTCTAAGTAATCGATTCATGTTTCTGTTCACATGCCGGTCCCTAGCTCTGAAAACTGAGATGAGACCTAGCACCAAAATGGTGCACACAGAACCATGCAAAAAATATTAGCAAGGCGGCTGCCCACTGCTTCGCCTGGAAGGGAGTCACCATGAGCCCCATGCCGTCCTTGCGAACGTTTCAAGGATACCGGTCGGACACCTTGAAACCCTTGGCCGGCAACGAAACAGCTCTCAGTAGGGAATGTGGGAATGCACCCAGGCTTCGGTCCCCTTAAAGGAAACTATCAGTTGGATGGTTCATTCCCTGCATCTCTCGCACCAGCTTCTTTGTCCGCTGTCCTGCGGCAGCTCAACCTCGAAGGTGAAGTTGTAGGCCATCGCATCGCAGCAAGACCCATCGCCCTCCAGCTTGGGGACCCGGCCCAGGTGAGTCTGCTGCTCACCACAGCTGTCCACAAGCCAAATGTCATAGCCATCCACCAGCGACTCGTCCACCTCCCCATCTATGGCATTAGGACCCCAGTACAAAGTGCCAGAGATGTTGCTCAACGCGTCATCGAGGTCTTCAAACTCTCCAACTCCGCACACTTGGCATCGAATGTTCTGCGAGACAGGAATAGATACACCACTTGAAGTGCACAGGAACTCTGATGCGCCAGAAGCGTAGCACCAGCTGGATTCGTTTCCGGTCTCGTTTGACCCCACATCTGCAATGCAGGTGTCTCCTTCTTGAAGGGCGCTGCAATTGGTGTCGTCTGCCACTGTTACACCTTCCAAAAAGTTCTGACACCATGGGCGAGTGGTTGTTGTGCTTGAGGATGATGTGCTTGAGGATGTTGTGCTTGAGGATGATGTGGTTGAGGATGATGTACTTGAGGATGATGTGGTGGAAGATGATGTGCTGGTGGATGACGTTGTTGTGCTGTTTGATATGGAGCTAGTGGTTGAGGTTGTGGTTGAAGACAAGGTGCTACTAGTTGATGTGGTTCTGCTGGTAGTCATCGAAGTCGAAGTGTAGGTGGATGATGTTGTTACAGTTGCCGAGGTTGATGTTGCAGAAGTGGTTGTCCTTGTGCTGGAGCTTGTCGTCTGGGTTGTGGGCGTTGTTGTGGAAGTGGACTGAGTCGTTAGAGTGAATGTGCTAGTTGATGTTGTGAAGCTAGTCATTGAGATCGTTGAAGACGTAGCCGTTGAGGATGTGAAAATTGTTTCTGTTGTCGTACCTGTTGTTGTGTTGGTGAATGTGACAGTTGAGGTCGTCGTGGTTGCGGTGGAGGTATTCGTCTGCGTTGAGGTTGTCGAAGAAGTGCTGACACTGCTGGAGGTCCAGGTGGTGTTCGTGCTGGTTTGAGTTGTTCCAGTCTGGGTGGAACTTGTGCTGCTAGTTCTGGTCATTGAGGTGGTGGTGATAGTTTCTGTTGTGCTCGTGGTGTTGGTGAGCGTAGTAGTTGTCAGGGTCGACGTCGTTGTTGTGGTGTTTGACTGAGTGGTGCTTGTTAGAGACGTGGCTGTGAGGCTCGTGGTGGTGGCACTGGTGCCTGTTTGCGTCGATGAGCTCAAGGTGCTGGTGCTGCTCGTCGTGGCTGTCGTCTCGGTGCTGGTTGCCGTTGCGCTCACAGACGAAGTTGACGTAGTGGAGATCGAAGTGAAGCTTTGAGATGTCGTGCTGGTCTCGGTGGAGGTGCTCGTGTTGCCTATCCAGGTCTGTGTTGAAGTCGTAAAGGTCACCATTGATGTTGTCTCAGTGGAGGCGGTGCTGCTGGTTTGCGTTCCAGTGCTACTGGAGACGGTGCTGCTGGACGTCGTGACGCTGGAGGTCGTGCTTGTCTGAGTTGTGTTGGTGACAGAACTTCTAGTACTGCTGGTGCTCGAGGTGCTCGACGAACGGCTTGAAGTACTGGTGGAGCTCAAAGTTGAACTAGAGGTTGACAACTCAGCAAGACAGTAAACTTTCACAAGCAGCCCCCAGGAAATCAGCAGCCTGGGACACGCTCCTTGCTACCATCTCCCAGCCATGAGCTAAGGCCAAAGCAGTAGAACTGGATGTCGTCATGGAAGTGGCAGTAGAGCTAGTGCTTGTTTCTGAGCGCGACATCGCGTCCGGCTGCCAACAGTGGAGGGCATGCTGCGTGCCTGAGGTCAATGTGTGCGTTGAGGAAGTTCGGGTGGAAGTGGTGCTTGTGGTGCGTGTCCAGGTCCTACACATCAGACGCATCTGAGCGGCTCAGAAATCGGTGGCCTTCCCTCTAAGCCAGGTGCGTGGTTGTGGAGTTGGTAGTAGTTGTGGAAGTTTGCGTACTGCTCGTCGCAGTTGAAGATGTTGCAGTTGAGGATGTTTCAGTCTGTGACGTGGTGGTTGTGGTGGTGGTGCCTTGAATGCTTTGGAAGTTCTTACGTCAAGCATGCCAAAATGGAACAGTGCTGCCTGGTGGCAGGGAGGAACCAATGCCTGTGGCAGCAAAAGCGTGCTGCCTGAATTATGTGTCGGGATGACAGCCTGGCGCGAGCGCATCTTCAAATACCCGAGAACGCGAGCCCCGAGTGACGCCTACATTTCTTTGGGGGATAGGCCCAACCCAACTTCCATGGGCATCCCTTTGCCATTGATTCAATTCCTGGTGCTTCTGCAGGGATTTTGCTGCACAGACCTCAAGTTGGTCCAGATCCACAAACAATTCTAGCCGGCAGAGCGTGGGCACATCTGTCATCAGCGCTTGCACAGGCAAGGAGGAGGAACAGCAGGCTACCTCGCGTGTGCCGCAGGACTCTAAGGACTCTGCCATGTACCCCCTGAGTACCCTCAAGGCGGGTGTACTGCCCAATGAAGGGGTGGCCTCTCATCAGACGCGGAGCTGCTGTGTCCTGCGTCAGGAGCGGGCAACTCGGGGGTCTCGAAAAAACCGCTCCGATTTTGAACCGGCTGTCCTGCTGTGAGGCTATGCCTCCTCGACCCCTGGCGCCCCCTCATGTCCTTGAGAGAAAGTGCCTGCGGGGCAGAAGATGAGCTCGTGCCGAGGCCCAAACATGTGGCCATGGGTAAAAATCCCGGTTAGCCCCAGTGTACATCCTAATCCCCACTAAAATAGGTTCTAAAATGGGTGGTACACCCACCCCAAAATGGGATACCATTGGTTTTGACCCACAGCCATTTGTTTCGACCCTCAAGCAAAGAGAAAGGATGGGTGCTGAATGCGCCAGGAAAGTCCTGTTGAAAAGAGTGTATGCAGAACAAACATGGAATCGGTGGGTTTCGCACCTGTTCAAATGTGCTCGCCCAAAAGCATAAAGCCTGTCACGAATCAGAGAAACCCGCACAATCAGCTCTGTCAAACAGAGGCAATGCTACCGAAGGTTGACAATGAGTGCGAGCCAACAATCAGAAAAGCAGTCAATCACATTTGGCGGAACAACGCTGGATTACGCCTGTCTAAAAGAAGAAAACTGGAGACAATGTTGAGGTCCCATTTCCTCCATTGTTCACTCTTGTTTACCTTCGAAGAAGGTGTTTTGGATGTGTTCGGCAACTGTAGGTTTGTTCAAAATGGGATATGGAACTTCCAAAGTGCGTGCGTTCCCCCGGTGAAGCAGCAGAAAAAGATTGACTTAGCCCGCCAGAACCTCCAAAACATTTGCAGGTGCACCCACCAAACATGCCTTGACCCATTTGCCAGGCCTTGCAACATGCAATCTGAGTTGCGGCCAAGCCCGGCATGAAAAGAAAGTACCCAAACTAGACGGTAGCCGCCTCTATTGCTGATTCCCCAGCTTTGTTACGTTGGCTCCGACACCTCCGCCAAAGCTGCGGGGTTCTCCCGCCCACTTTTCGAGGATTCCGCTCTCGGGTCGCTCGGGCGGTTGCCCTCCTAGCCCGGAAGAAGCCTCCGCTTCACGAAGACTGGCTGATCCCACCTGTCAGCGCCTTGCTCGCCAGCGTCAATTTCAACAGTGGATCATTGCCTTGGCCCTGCGTGAAACGCCGCAGGATCACTTCGTGCCTCAGGTTGGATAGTTTGGTTTGCGGACGTGAACCACAAGGCAGTGAGGCCGGTGAGGCCGGTGAGGCCCCTGCCCTGTGTCCAGGTAGAAAACACTGGCCTGGAAACACTCAACCATCTCGACTGCGCACTGGTCAACGACTTGAAGCTGGCATCATGTTCGTGCAATGTACTGAGGCCCGCGCATGCTCAATTCCAGGCATCGGCCAGCAAGGTTGCTCCTTGCAACACATCTCTGCACCTTCAAATCGATTCACGTCGCGACACCTCGTGGCGTCGTCAGCCGTCACCACGCTCATAATCGTTGCTGATGCCAAAGCCTGGACAGTTGGGTGTGTCTTTGTTTGAACCCACGAAAAGTGTACCAGTTCTTGACCGCTCCGAATTCGTGCTCAGAGCCCGGCAGCATTTACAGCTGCGGCAGAGTGGGTCATCTGTAGGCCCAAGGTCCAGCCCGACCCATCGCGCCTTCGGCACATGTTGATCAAAAGGTCCGTGATACATTGGATGACCATTGGTTGGGGAATAAAAAGATTTGATGTTGCAACGACATGGGCAAAATGCTACCCATGGGTCAATTGGCGCGGTGCAGATTTTGTGGCACTCTTACTTCTCTTTGCAAACGTCCGACCCCCGGCCTGTCCAGGCTCTACTGGCACTCACTGAACACACCCAGCCATCAAGAAACTACAAGCACTGCCGCCTCTGCTAAAAAACAAAAGAACTACCACCTCTACTGATTCAGTTTCGTTTAGGAATGGCACTCCTGCTATGGCTCAAAATGTTCCAAAGCCAGAGGACCGCAATTGTTCAGTTCCGGCACCTACTTTTTGACCCACACCCCACCTCCAGAGTTCCCAGTGTGTCCAACCAAAAAACGTTCCAAGGAAAACTGGCCATGGGTCAAAATCCCGCACCCCCAGTGAACATCCCAATCCCCACTAAAGTAGACTAACATGCGTGGTGCACCTACCCCAAAATGGGATCCCATTGGTTTTGACCCACAGCCAACTCATTTCTGGGCCCAAAAACGGGTCTCAGCTTCAGCTTCCTTCCGCAGGCTGAGCTCGGCACCGCCTCGCAGGATCCCCTCGCACGATTCGCCTACTCCCCGTGGTGCAAGTCGCCAGGTCATCGTCCCACTCATAGCCTATTGGCCATGAGCCACGGTCGAAACATGGGCAGTAGCTACCGCAGATCTCCAAAACAACAGGAAAGTGAGTCCGCCTCGCGCATTTTCTTTGGGGAAAGTAAAGACCCCCGCCAAAAAAAAGGGGCCGCCACATCCCTTCGGGAGACTTTGAAGGAAGCTCACTCGGCCGTTGGCATGCAGAATCCCCACAAAGCACAACCTCAATCAAATACACCTGCATGCCATCCTCTTGACTGCAGCAACTCATATTTCCTTGGTGTGCGTCCTTGCATCGCGCTGGTGGTCGCACTCCAAACACTCACTCAAGCAACACTTTGGGATTCCGAATCCAACTGTCCAGTCCACCTGTTGCTCCCTTCTTTCAGCGCGCGTTTAGCACTCCAGAATTGCGCCGTCCAGGTTACTGCAGCAAGCTCAGTTGCTCTTGCACCTGGCTGCTGTCTCCGCCTTCTTTTGGATCACCCCAGGTCACAACATTCCCAGATTGAAGAATGGCAGCAAACGCATGCGCAGTTGCTTGGATGTGCTGGACGTTCCTCAGCTGCTCTTGCACCTGGCTGCTGTCTCCGCCGGCGTCTGGATCACCCCAGGTCACAACAGCCCCAGATTCAAGAATGGCAGCAAAAGCTGCTGTCTCCGCCATATTCTGGATCACCCCAGGTCACAACAGCCCCAGATTCAAGAATGGCAGCAAAAGCAAAGCCAGTTGCTTGGATGTGCTGGACGTTCCTCAGCTGCTCTTTCTCCTGGCTGCTGTCTCCCCCATATCCTGCATGTCCCCAGGTGACAACAGCCCCATTCTCAAGAATCGCAGCAAAAGCATAGCCAGCTGCTTGGATGTGCTGGACGTTCCTCAGCTGCTCTTTCTCCTGGCTGCTGTCTCCCTCATATCCTGCATGTCCCCAGGTGACAACAGCCCCATTCTCAAGAATCGCAGCAAAAGCACCAAAGCCAGTTGCTTGGATGTGCTTGACGTTCCTCAGCTGCTCTTGCACCTGGCTGCTGTCTCCACCGCGGTCCGCTCGACCCCAGGTCACAACAGCCCCAGATTCAAGAATGGCAGCAAAAGCACTCTCAGTTGCTTGGATGTGCTTGACGTTCCTCAGCTGCTCTTGCACCTGGCTGCTGTCTCCGCCGGCGTCTGGATCACCCCAGGTCACAACAGCCCCAGATTCAAGAATGGCAGCAAAAGCACTCTCAGTTGCTTGGATGTGCTTGACGTTCCTCAGCTGCTCTTGCACCTGGCTGCTGTCTCCGCCGTCGTCTGGATCACCCCAGGTCACAACAGCCCCAGATTCAAGAATGGCAGCAAAAGCACTCTCAGTTGCTTGGATGTGCTGCACGTTCGCGAGCTGCTCTTGAACCTGGCTGCTGTCTCCGCCATATTCTGGATCACCCCAGGTCACAACAGCCCCAGATTCAAGAATGGCAGCAAAAGCATAGCCAGTTGCTTGGATGTGCTGGACGTTCCTCAGCTGCTCTTGAACCTGGCTGCTGTCTCCGCCATATTCTGGATCACCCCAGGTCACAACCTCGCCCGCATGGCCATACAAGGCAAACGCCTTGTCAGTGGCAGCTAGTTTTGCTGGCTGCACAACCGCAACAACCACGTCCCCATCTTGCAACCCAGCCTCACTCAGTGTGGCCCGCAAATCAAGCTGCCAGCCTTTCGCAGTGAGCTTCAAGCGGCGTTGGAAATGCTGCTGCGCTGCAGCTTTCAGCTCGCTGATTGGCCTTTTCCCTAAGAGTGAGATGGAGCAACTATCTCCGCTGGGCAAGTGAACATCCACCTTCATGGCACAGGATGATTCTTCCAGGCGAGTTGAAATTGCCAGACACAAATGGCTTTGATTGAATGGGCGTGAACCCTTGCAAATCCCAGGACCAGCCCATGCTGAGAACAAAACATTGTGCGTGAACACCAGGTTGGTAAAAGGCTTCTGACCCTGGGCAGTGAACACCAAGACCTGTCCAATTGAGAGACACTCACTTGCACCAAAAGGCAAGGCCGCATCTAAGGAGTGACTGGAAATCTGAGGCGAGTGCATAGCTTTGGCGGGATCAGCACGAAAGTGCAAGCACGGTTCGCGTGGATCCACTCCCTGCAGCTGCGCAGCACGTGTAAATGGGTACAAACAAATACCCTCCACGCGCACCATGTGGATGCATGTATGCATGTAAATATGTATTGCAGTGCAAGGGAAGGTAATGTAAGGTAATGTAACGTCATGTAAGGTTATGTAAGGTCATGTAATGTATGTATGTAATAATGTAGTGTAAAGCAATGTAATGCATGTAATGTGCGTAAATGCACGTACTCTATGTAATGTATGTAATGTATGTAATGTAATGGAATGTAACGCAACGTAATGTAATGTAGTTTAATGTAACGTCATGTAATGTAATGCAATGGAATGGAATGGAATATGATGTAATGTAATGTGTAATGTGTAATGTAATGTAATGTGTACTGTGTAATGTAATGTAATGTACTATAATGTAATGTAATGGAATGTAATGCAACGTAATGTAATGTAGTGTAATGTAACGTCATGTAACGTAATGCAATGGAATGGAATGGAATATGATGTAATGTAATGTGTAATGTGTAATGTAATGTAATGTACTATAATGTAATGTAATGTAATGTAACGCAACGTAATGTAATGTAGTGTAATGTAACGTAATGTAACGGAATGCAATGGAATGGAATGGAGTATGATGTAATGTAATGTGTAATGTGTAATGTGTAATGTGTAATGTGTAATGTGTAATGTGTAATGTGTAATGTGTAATGTGTAATGTGTGATGTGTAATGTGTAATGATGTGTAATGTGTAATGCAATGTAATGTAATGTAATGTAATGTAATGTAATGTAATGTAATGTAATGTAATGTACTGCAATGTAATGTAATGTAATGTAATGGAATGTAACGCAACGTAATGTAATGTAGTGTAATGTAACGTCATGTAACGTAATGCAATGGAATGGAATGGAATATGATGTAATGTAATGTGTACTGTGTAATGTAATGTAATGTACTATAATGTAATGTAATGGAATGTAATGCAACGTAATGTAATGTAGTGTAATGTAACGTCATGTAACGTAATGCAATGGAATGGAATGGAATATGATGTAATGTAATGTGTAATGTGTAATGTAATGTAATGTACTATAATGTAATGTAATGTAATGTAACGCAACGTAATGTAATGTAGTGTAATGTAACGCAATGTAACGTAATGCAATGGAATGGAATGAAGTATGATGTAATGTAATCTGTAATGTGTAATGTGTAATGTGTAATGTGTAATGTGTAATGTGTACTGTGTAATGTGTAATGTGTAATGTGTAATGTGTAATGTAATGATGTGTAATGTGTAATGTAATGTAATGTAATGTAATGTAATGTAATGTAATGTAATGTAATGTAATGTAATGTAATGTAATGTAATGTACTGCAATGTAATGTAATGTAATGTAATGTATGTATGCGTGTGTGTGTGTATATGTGTATGTGTATGTGTATGTGTATGTGTATGTGTATGTGTATGTGTATGTGTGTATGTGTACGTGTACGTGTACGTGTATGTGTAAGCATTTGTATGTATATGTATGTGTGAGAAAGTATGAACATGTGTGTGTGTATGTATGTATATGTGATTGTACGTATATGTATGTGTTTGTATGTATGTATATATACATATATGCATAGGTTGGCATATGTATGCATATGTATGTATATGCATGCATATGCATGGATATGTATGTATGTATTTGCATGTCTCTGTATGTATATGTACGTATATGTATCTATATGTATGTGTCTGTATGTATATGTTCATGCGAATATCTAACTATGTATGTATGTATGTATGTATGTATGTATGTATGTATGTATGTATGTATGTATGTATGTATGTATGTATGTATGTCTGGATGGATGGAAGGGCATTGAAGCCGCTTTAACGGTTTTTTTTTACAGTCTGCGCAGAGCTTGAAGCAAGCCAACTCCTATCCCATTGGCTCAAAAACTAAGTTTTGGAGGGGGTCCCTACACATATATATTGTATATATTACCATACAAATCTTTAAAGTATGCACGTTTGCCTGTACGTCTACATCTCATGATGGAGAACGTGCCAAGAGCAAACTTGAGCCGTCATTTCAGAAGAACCGAGGAGCGCACTGATAGATCTTGAAGGCGTTGAAGTTGGACATGGTTTCCAAGTGGTTATGCCTGCAGAAATCCATGAGGTCGTTGACCTGCAAAGGCGCTGGAGACCATGCCCTCTTCCTTATCACCCAATGACCCAATGACCCAATGCACACATTGGGATGGCCAAACAAAAAAGTCAGAATCTCTATCCCAAAGTGGTGACCCTCTCGCTGACTGCATCTCTTAGATGTCTTAGGACCTTAGTGGGTCTCAGGTGCAGTCAATCGAAAGGGCCCGGCCTTTGACAATGGCTTTGCCAGCTCTGTTGCAACTTTCAGCTTCTCCTCTGCTAGGTGCCTCAGCGAATTGCGCTCGGAACAAACCCAAACCCCGTCTCCTTTAGGACCAGTTGATCAAAAGGTCCGATATACATGGGATGATCATTGGGGGGAAAACCACAACAAAAAAATGATATATCCCACTGAACGGGAAGAGTTACCCAGGGTCATGGGGGCCAGGAATCCTGATCAACCCCCATACGGGTTTGGAATCGCGGCCATTGAGCCACCCCCGAGGCCCCAACACCAGCGCACACTTTGGCGCACCCACCTGAGAAAACTGCACCGAGCAAACAACTCGAACGTGTCTAAGTCTTGGGCCGGGAAATAATCTCCAGCTCGTTTCATAACTTCCTTGTCTGGCCTGAGTCCCGGAGTCCCCACATCAAAACGTGTCTTTCTGGCCAAGCAAAAAATGGGACACTGGCTCCTGCTCTGAGAAGGTCTCCTTGAAGATCTTTTTTGGGAGATTTGCCACCTGGCGTTGAAATGTCCCAACCGAAAGGCGGTCCAGCGGCGCGACTCTGTCTTTTCCCGCCTTGACTTCGTCTTTCGGCTTGTGATGCCGGTCCCAAATCACCAAGGTGGTTGTTCGGGACTTGGCCTGAGCATGTTCCGACTGATTGTTGCTGCCCTTTGTTGGCGCTTATCAATAGAAAAGCACTTTGGCTGAAAAGGATCCATGTTTTGCTGGTGTTGTTTCCTGTGTTCCAGCCGGTGTAGGGTTGGCTTGAGGTTGGTGTGGTGGTTTTGAGCTGGGTCCAGGGTTGGCTTTGGGGGCGAGGGTGGAGGGTTGGTTTAAGCCCAGTGTCAGGTGGCTTTGCTGTGGGTTGGTTGGTTCGCCAGGATGGGTTTAGAGTGGGTTCAATTGGGTTGCCGCTTGGTTGAGGGTGGGCTCGTGGCAAGCTTAGGATTGCTTTTCTTGGCTGGGTTACTACAACTGGCTTCGGATTCGCTTTAGAAAGCGGAACAGCCAAAAAAACCGAAGGACAAAGAAGCCAACAAAAGGCATGAAAATAACACCAAACTCCAAAAAGGCTAACCCCACCAAGAAAAGCCGGAAAGCCGAGCAGGAACAACATCGCTCTCCTCTTGAAATGAGTATTCCAGAGAAGAGCACGAGCACCAAATACTTCAAAGGCCCTGTGCAAGCAAGGCACAAGTTCCGCAACCATTCCAATGGCAGCCGCCGAAGTCTGACCGCGGACGATCACAGTGTCCTGCGGGTCTGATCGCTGGAGGGCCAATGCAAAAAAAGAACACGACGCTGCGTCAGTCCAACGGGTCCATGCTCACCTTTGGTGTCACAAAGGCTTGCTGGAAAGCGCCTGTCGTCGATGCCAAGTGATTCCATGCCTAGTCTCTACCAGCTGGACTTGCCCAGCCGCCTTGCCTGTGTCTGTGCTCCCTTCCCATCTTGGAGCACCACGAACAATTTCGACACGCTGACCTCACCGGTCGCATCTCTTGGGTTGCATTTTCCGTATCCCACCTGCAAATTCCCCCTTAGAAAGTGCTGAACGAGTGCGAAAAGAGTGCACAACTTGTGGGATGCACAGTTGGGGCATCCAAAATGTTGTCTAGACCATCACAAGCTCCAAGAAAGCGCCACCAGTTGGACACCCCCATGCCGAGCTCATGGAGTCCTCGCAACGGAGATGACCCATCTGACTTCGTGGCCTACTTTTGCTAGGAGCGGCACCAGCCAAGACCAGCGAGGAGTTTGGCCTGGCGGGCAGTGACACCCGGAAAAGTCATCCAGACCCCAACTTGGATGTCTTGGGAAAAAGGTCCAGTCGCAACTAATTGCAATTGTGGGCGGTACCATGAGAATTTGCTGGTAGTGTGGGGCGGGGGGGGCGGACTAAGGGGAAACAAGGGAGGTGGGGCAGGGAATCAACGCGGATCAACCCCCAAAGAAAAGATAGAAAGAAATCCCTGAAGTCGGGCCAGCCCCCTAACTTTAGCAAGAAGAACATGGGGAACCACCTCCAAAGTGGTTGGTTGACATAAATCCCCACCTCAATGATGCCCACCATTTCGGGTCCCCACTTCACAGCCACATATGAGTTTGTCTCTGTGCATGTTCAACAGAAACATGATGCACACGGAACCATTCAATGGCGACGGCCATTGGCTCAAGCGCTGGAAAAAGCGCGATCTTTTTGCATAGACATAACCATAGGTTATGAGCCCAAACTCTCTGAGGTAAAGCCATGATTCGCAGGCGCCGGCGAGAAGTGGTACGAGATGGGGAGACCGCAGATGAGGCCTTGGACCGCCTCATCATGGAGCGGGTGCAGGAGGAGGAACGGGCATCGCGGAGGGCGAGGTCGGAGGATCTGGAGGACCGGCGGGGGATTCGCCGGGTCACCGGTCCGGAACGGAGTGAGCCTAGGGGCGGAAGGGATGTTTTTCCCCCTCCCGGGCTGGGGCCGGATCTGGCCGAAGATGGACGCCGCGGGCAAGGAGCTCTACGGGGTCCCCCTGGACAAGGAGAACAACCCGGCCAACAGGAGCGGATCCTGGAACGGCCAGGTGAACCAATTCAAGATCGGGGTGGGGGTCAATTCCATCCTGGTGGGTCTCGAGGGCGTGGGTCTGGCGAAGGACCTGGGCCAAGCGGGCTACCTCAGGAAATCCGAGGACGTTCTGGGGCGCACGGCGGGCACGATGCTGTAGTACCCCAAGAGCAATTCCTGGCTGGTGGAGAAGACCAAGGACATCCGGGAGTAAGGCATGGTCATGATTCGGGAGAACCTGAAGGGCATGGTCAACTGCGTGGACAACCTGACGGGCGTCCTTCAGATAGTCGGGAACTAACGGCTCATCAAGGTCAAGGCCAGGAATGGGAAGTCAGGCCGAGGCAGTTGGAGCCCTATGATGGTCGGGAGACTTTGAGTGGGAATCGGAGAGGTCCCTATGGTCCGGGAGATGCACCAGCAGGTGGCGGGGTGAACCCGTTTTGGAGCCCTGAGGTTCAAAGAAGGGCCGCCCAAGCACAACCTGTGTCTGCTGGCAGGGCGACTACCGAAGACCGAGGACGACTACAAGGACAAGAAGAAGATCTTGAAGCTCTGCGACTACGGGTGATGAGGGACGCGGAGGAGATCTTCGAAAGAGAAGTGGCGAGATTGCAGGCGGCAAGAACGAGGGACGATGTTTCCTACAGGACGGCATCAGAAGGAGGAGTCGTTGGAGGTCTTGGTCCTCCACCGCTTCATGATGAAGGAAATCGACCTCAGCCACCTCCACCACCACCGCCACCTCCGAGGGGATTGGACGACAATAAGTCGAGTGCTCCATCTCACTTGTCGGAGGCTCTGAGGAATTTGGAGTTGCCTAGTCTGCCTCCCCCTGGAGGAGATCTGGCAGCGTTGACCTTTGGGGATTGGGTGACGGTGATCGGGCCGTTGATGGCGGACATTGCAGGTTCAGCTCAAGAGTGGTGGAAGGATGTTCTTCAACGAGCAGAATCCACCTACATGGAGTGGCTGATTGCAACCCCCTTGGAGAAGCTGAGGCTGAAGCCTTCGTTGGGGGAGAAACATGTCCACAATCACCGGGTGGAGCAACGGGGGCTTTCCATGCTACTTGCTGCACTGCCTGACCCAATCCGCAGAGAAATCATCTCGGCAAGGAAGATGTCGGCCACGGAGATCATGTTTCGCCTTCACCAGATATATCAGCCGGGTGGGACGTCGGAGAGAGGCAACCTGCTCAAGAACCTGGATCCGAAGGTGGGGAACACGTTGACGGAGGCCCTGCAGACGTTGAGGCTGTGGAGGAGATGGTTGGCGAGGGCAGAGGAGTTGGAGGTGGCACTACCAGATGGTTTGGTGTTGCTGACGGTCCTGAACAAGATTGCGGAAGCAGTCGGGAAAGCGGGTGCTCAAGCCAGCTTTCGGATCTCCTCGGTTCGCCAAGAACTTCAAGTTGATGTTCGCCCTCATCTCGCGAAGATCAAGCAGTTCTCGGAGTATTTGCAGGCGGAGGCGGAAGAACTCTCACTTGCAACAGCCCTGAAAACCTCATCCACGACCAACGCGGCCAATCCAACTCAGCCAGCGGCGGGACTCAAGGCCCTGGCGACTTCTGGAGCCAAGGATCCGGTTGCAGAGACGGGAGACCAGAAGAAAAGGTCATTCGGGGCACCATGCAGGTTTTGGGGCACAGATGGAGGATGCAAGAAGGGTGGCAGTTGCAGCTACGCCCATTCGTGGGATGGCTTGGAGAAGAACAACCGGTGCTTCGGATGCTCTGGGGTGGGCCACTCGAAGCGGGATTGCCCGGTCAAGAAATGGGACTGGGGCACGAGCAAGACGACAGCAACGGCCCCTCCCAAGGTGTCCAAGTTCGAGAAGCAGAAGGATGCAAGGTCTTCGAGAGAAGGCTCTGGCGCAGGCGGTGAAGGGGCCCGACAGGCTGGCTCACCGGGCTCCGCGGAGGAGGCGTCCCGGGAGGTCACCGGTCGGATTCCCAGCACCGCACCGCCGAATTCGGTGGACATGGGTGGAGGAACACCTAAGCCGCCGCAAGATGCTGCGGAGGCAGCTGGGTTGATGTCGGAAGTGGCGGGCTTGCTGAAATCATTGAGATCGATGAAGGCCCTCCAGATCAAGTATGAGGCAGCCAAGAGACAGGCTGGAGCTGAGGAGGTGGAGCCAGTTGCCCTCCTGGACGGAGGGGCAACGCATGCCTTGAGGCAGGCAAGGTCGCACGAAAGAGGCGATCTAACGGCAGTGGAAGTGGAGTTGGCCTGCGGAAGCACGGTGTTGTACAAGCACCCTGGCACGTCGGCCCTGTTGACGCTGGATCCGGTGGAGCCCATCATACCACTGAGGATGTTGGTCGACGCCGGCTTTGTGGTCAAGTGGAATGCCAAGGGCTGCATCATCGATCACCCTGGACACGGTCGGCTTCATTGTTGGCTTCGTCATGGGTGCCCGGTCATGAAACGGTCAGCGGCGATGAAGTTGATGGACTACCTGGATGCCCCGGGCGGGAGCGCGGTGGTAACCCAGGATCGGGAATGGTGGTTGCGGCATTTCCCGCATCTTCCGGAGGAGGTGCTGGAGCTCATGGGCCGAGTAGAGGACGGAGCAGAAGCCGCCGCTCGGAGCCCTTTCAACAGGAGCTTGAGAAGAAGATGGGAAAGAAGCAAGGGGCTGGTGGTTCACCTCTTCGCCGGAAGGGATGCCAAGGAATGGAGAAGGGAAGATTGGAGAGGCTACGAGGTCATCACGATAGACATGGAGGAGAATGCGAGGCAGAACCTTCATGATGCGGCCTTGTGGGGATACCTTTGGTACCTTGGGAAGAAGGGACTGATTCGGGCCGTGATCGGCGGACCACCATGCCGGACTATTTCCAGGTTGCGGCACAATCAACCAGGACCGAAGCCATTGAGGGGCCGGGACCAACGTCGGTATGGACTGTCTGGCTTGTCCATAGAGGACAAAAGGAAGGTCAATGGAGACACGGCACTGTTCTTCAAGCAGATGGCTTTGTGGTTGATCGCCGAGGACTCTTCATGGAGGAGAGAAAAACCGGTTGGGTTCCTGGGGGAGTCTCCGATGGACCCGGCCAAGTACGATCCAAAGGCAGAGGAGCTTGACATCCCCTCGTTCTGGAACTTCGAGGAGGTGCGCGAGTTCTGTCGGGATCATGGCATGATCTTGGTGGACCTAGATCAAGGGGCAGCTGGCCATCCCCGGAGGAAACCAACTACGCTGGCGACCAATCTGCCCGGCATGGGGGAGCTTCATGGACTTAAGGGTCAAGGCCATCAAGAGATGGAGGCGGACCTACAGCGACGGTTGGTGCAGACGAGGACCTGGTCGAAATGGGCACCTGGGATGGTGGCAGCAATCAAGAAGTCCCTGAAGGTGATGATTGATCAACTGGAGGAAGGTTCAAGGGACAAGGCAGCAGACACGGGGGAGCTCAAGAAGATGACCCTTGAAAAGTGGAAGGAGCATGTGAAAAGGGGACACGCTCCGTTCAATCGGAGGTGCCGGGTTTGCATGCAGGAAGCGGGCATAGATCGGCCCCATAGAAGGTTGAAGGCAGATATACCGGCTTACGTCCTCAACGTGGATATTGCTGGCCCCTTCTCGGCCGGAGATGATGCAGGCACCGGGAGAAAGGTCAAGTATGCCCTTATCGGAACAGTACCTGTACCTCTTGGAGGAGGAGAAGGTGGTGATCCACCAGCAGAGCCGGTCGAAGATGCAGAAGAAGATGTGGTCTCAGGTGAATGGGAAGAAGAAGATGAGCAGCCCCGCGCTTCAGACGACGAGGCAAGGCGGCTCAACGAGAAGGTCAAGGACGAGATGGCCGAGGCGCTCAAGGGGGTCAAGGTTCAGAATGTCACCATGACGGAAGTAATGGAAACCCGAAGTGCCACGGAGGTTATCAGAGCCCTGAACCTTATCTTCGTGAAATACCGCAGCTTGGGGATCCCGCTCTACCGCATGCACTGTGACCGAGCAAAGGAGTTCCTCTCGAAGCAGGTGCAGCAGTGGTGCTTGGAACACAACTTGCTGCTTACCATGACCTCGGGAGACGATCATGCAGCGAACGGAAGAGTGGAGACAGAGGTCAACCACGTCAAAAGAAGGCTTCGAGTGGTGCTGAAGGGGTCTGGAGCTCCAGCGAAGTGGTGGCCTGCAGCCCTACGTCATGTGGTCCTGCAGCGAAATCAGCAACAGCTGGAAAGACTTGGGGTGGAGACCTTCCCGCTGCTCCCATTCTACGCTAAGGTCATGGTGAAGACGAAGAGATGGCATAAGAAGGGGCCCTTGGCATCACCTTTTCGTGAAGTTCGCCTACTGGGTCCGAGCCCATTGATGAGCTGGGGTTGGGTGGTGCAAACCAATGAGGGGACCATCCAGCATGCAAGGGCTGCCATCTTGCCAGATGAGGAAGCAGACAGGGCGCGGTACGAGCTGGAGGTGGATGATAACCCTGGGAAACCGAAGCAACGGCTGACCGGGAAACAGCGGATGGAACGTGGGCCACATCTGGGGGGAGATCTCGACCATGAAGAAGGTGTACTGCCTCAGGAAGAAGATGAAGGCCCCGCTCTACGTGAACTGCAAGCGGGGGGGGAGTACTACACTGGCCTGAAGAAATTTTGGCTAACAGACAAAGGAAGAGAAGAGCTCGAGGAGACTCTGGGCGCCTATCAGTGGGGCTTGAAGGAAGCATTAGCAGAGGAAATCAAGGTCGTCCCCATGGGTGAGGAGCTTGGATTTGCACATGGTGCCGCGGTGGAGTTTCTCATGGGTGGCATCAATCAGCTGGAAGACGACCTGGGGAACCTTCAGAAGGACGAGGGTGAGAAGGGCTATCGGATGGCCTTGTTGAAGGGAGGTTGCGAAGAGGAGCCGGAAAAGGTTCTACAAACTCGCACCGTGCCGCTTCAGGAGGTGAGAAGAGATCTGGAAAGCTGGAAAGAAGCCATGACCGATGAGTATAATGCCTTGGTGTACGGCACGAAGGTGGTGAAGCCAGTGAACGAGAAGGATTTGGACAGCATCCCGGGCATCGAGAACGCGGAGTTCGCCCCGGGCAAGCTGGTCACAACCATCAAGGCACCTCTGGGCAGGAAAAGAGCTCGGGCGGTGATTTGTGGCAACCTGTTGACGGACGGCAGTGGTGAAAGCTCGAAGTCGGCGGTGGACAAGAAGGAAAACTACGCGGGAGGCATCGATGGCACGGCCTTGAGGTGCGTCCTACGGAAAACGGCACACGAGCGGTGGGACCTGGCCACGGTGGATGTGAAATGCGCCTTCCTGCTGGCACCTCGTCAAGAGAAGAGGAGGGTCCTCATCACGAGGCCCCCCAAGGTGCTTGTAGAAGCGGGCATCGTTCCGGCTTCGGAGCGTTGGCTTGTTCAAGGAGCCATGTATGGTCTGGAGACCAGCCCAGCAGACTGGTCGGCTTTCAGAGACCAGCGTCTGAGGGGTTTCGAGTGGAAGCATGAGGGCCGAAGCTTCAAGCTGCAGCAGACCACCGAGTCCAACGTGTGGGCGGTGATGGAGCAGAAAAAGGAGACAAATGGACTGCAAGCTCCGTGCGGGTACGTTGTGATCTACGTAGATGATTTCTTGGCAGCTGGACCTCGAGGCTTGGTGGATAGCATCATCAAGCGGATCAATGAAGAATGGGTCTGCAGCCTGCCGGAATGGATTCATCATGAAGGTTGGACCAAGTTCTGCGGGATGGAGTTGAGATGGAACGGAGATGGAGATCTGCAAGTGGCTCAGCCCTCCTACATCGCGGAGCTGATCAAGAGGCACAACGTGGAGTGTGCTCGACCGGTCCCGTTCAGCAAGCCGGAGATCCCCGAGAACCCGCAAATGACGCCAGAGGCTATTCGGGCGGCTCAGGGATTGGTTGGTGAGCTGCTATGGTTATCGGTGCGGACGAGACCAGATGTTTCCTTCGGAGTCTCTTGGATGTCGCAACATGTGACACGATGTCCGCAGGAGGTGGTCAAGGTCGGCATGGAGATGATGGCGTACTTGTACGGTACGAAGGAATTGGGCCTGGTGTATGGGGGCTGCAAGGGAGACAGGGGGCCAGATGGCGGTTTGCCGTTTGCGAGGTCAATGAGGAGATTAGAGATGTACGCGGACATCTCCTTTGCCCCGTTGGGTGAAAAGAGCCATCAAGGGGTTCTCGGTTTCTATGGTGGCGCCTTGGTTCAATGGGAATCCAGCCGCCAGCCGTTTGCGACCCTTAGCACAGCGGAAGCCGAACTGGTGGGCTATATCGAGGCCATGATCATGGGTGACTCCCTCTGCGCGGTCTTGGACATCATGGAGGGTGGCCACAACGGTGGAGGAATCACGGAGAAAGTGATATACGGGGACAACACGGCGGCGTTGGCCATCGTTCAGAATCCAGATGGGCCGTGGCGCACACGGCATCTTCGGCTGCGTGCCAATGTGTTGCGAGAAAGAGTGAGAGGTGGAGAATGGCAGGTTCGACATTTGCCAGGTTGTGATTTGGTCGCAGACTACCTCACGAAGACGGTGGCTTCCAGGTCACAGTGGCTCAGGTTCTACGCCATGACGGGCATGCTCCTGGCCACAACGGAGGTGGACGGAATGGTGAACCAAGAAGCCATTGGGTCCCAGAAGGGCCTCACCAAGGACACGGTCATGAAGGTGGCGGCTCTGAGTGGGCTCATGGGTATTGTGGCTTGCTGGAAGCCGCAGGACCCTCGGTCTCACACCGTGAAGGAGCTTTGTTTGGCGGCTCTTGGTGTTGGGTTAGGTTTTGTGTATAAAGGCCATCGGGCCCAACCTGCGAGGGAATCAAGATCGGCTAGGGATGATGAACCAGCCGCACAGCAAGGCAACTTAGAGGGAAGGATTGCCAAGATGGTCAGGGAAGATGAACCGACCACACCAAGGGACCCCTCTGTTTGGAAGCCTGTCACCAGGGATGATGAACCGGTGAAGGCAAGGCCCTCTGTCAGGGAAGATGAACCGACAGAGAGGAAGATCGCCAGGGAACATGAACCGGCGACGTCAAGATGGGCTAGGGAAAATGAACCAGCCACGAGGGTAAAACAAGAGGACCCCTGCCGCTTGCCGTTTTACCACTGGCCTACGGGCTGCCCTGCATCAATAGGTAAGGGTCGGGTGCCAATCGAGGCACCAAGGGAGCCATGGCCTGAACCATCTGGTGGTCCAATTCGTGGGTCACAGGATGAGGAGCCTGAGGACTTTTGGGAGGTGACGTTTGAGCGAGACTTCATCGTGGCGACCCGCATTCATATGCTGAGGAGAAACCGGGATTTTCAACCGGATCCGAGGAACATGCCTCCGGGGGTCAACGCTACGATGCTGGAAAGTCGGCGACAGACCAATTTGGTTTTCGTCGATCTCGAGCGAGGGCGGCGGGTGATCAATGACAATTGGAGGATGGAAGCTTTTCGCGAAGCAGATGCCTGGACGGGATCTACGACATTCGTGGCTCCACTGCGAGGCAATGTGAGCTTGCGGGACCTGGGAATCACTTCACTACCGGGTGAGCGTGAACGAAGCCGCAGTCCGAGGGATGATAACAACCCGGATGATGCGGGACCAGCCCGTCCCAGGATTGGGAACACCCATATCAGGGCCCCAAGCCAGCGAGAAGTTCGACCGCGGCTGCGAGCCTTGAGGTGGTTGTCGAAGCAGCCGAATGTGGAGGCCAAGCAGGCAAATAAGATTGAGGAGAAGACGGAGAAGGGGAGGAGGTCAGATAATCAAGAAGAAGACGTTCATCAGGATGGGCCAGTACTCCCGTGGGAGCTCGAGGAGTACAAGGCCCCCCCGATGCTCAAGAACAAGAACAAGGACGAGTGGGATTGGTCCCAGCCGGGATGGGCAATCCGTGCACATGGCAAACCTCGGAAACGCAGGTTTCACCCGATCCATCGAGAGTTCCCGCTGGATGCAGCGCGGTTGGAGTCGAGGAGGATCACGGTGAAGCTACACACGGGCACATCGCCTTTGGGTATCCGGTCCGTCGAGGAGGACAGCTGGACAGCTCATCAGGAGCGACAACGAACCTCGCAAATGCAACCATGGCGAGGGTATACTTTCTTCCAGATCAAGGTCAGGAAGGAGAGGAATTCCGGCTGGTCGTCCGTAAAGGACAGTGGAATCGCTTCGAGGGGCATTGATCCTAGCGCAAGGGGTGTGGGGACCAAGTTGGATCCGGAGGCTATGCGCGAGGAGGCCCAGAGGAGCGTGGGAAAGATGCTGGCCCCGTAGTCACATTTCCAAAGGCGAAAGCTGGCGGACGAGGGAGGACTACTACACGGGCGAGCACTATGGAGGCAAAACCTAGGACTCCATCAAGTCTTCCGGTAGCAGATGGTGCTGGGGATTTGGCGGAGGAATTTTCAGTTTCTTCTTCTGAATGGGAAGAAGTTTGAATGCAGCCGAAGGCTGCAGGGGGAGTGTGCATGTTCAACAGAAACATGATGCACACGGAACCATTCAATGGCGACGGCCATTGGCTCAAGCGCTGGAAAAAGCGCGATCTTTTTGCATAGACATAACCATAGTCTCAAAATCGGGGCAAAAAAAACAAACATTGGTGATTTCCCTTTGGTTTCCCTGTGGTTTCCCTTGTACACCCAAAAAAGGGCACCTCGAAAAAGACGCGCCGCCGGGTTCGCTTTGGGTCGCCTCTTGGACTCCTCCTCAGCACTCTCGGCGGAGCCGCAGAAGAGGAACTCCGCCGAGCCCCCGCCCTTGCCTGAGCGCCACCCGGCCGGCTTGGACGTTTCCACCATTTGGGCGGTGGATTTTTCTCGTGGCTGAGAGGGACCTGGGTGTTGTTTTTTGATGAGGGACCCAAAATGGTGGACATCATTTAGGTGGGATGTTTGTCCAACAACTTTGGGAGCGGTTCCGAATCTTAACAGTTCGGAGCCAGGGGCTGACTGTCCAAAAAAAAACGCCCGCCTTTCTCGTAGCAAATGCACTCCACTGGCCTGGGACATGCGTGGTCAATGTTTAACCCTGAACCTAGGATTTGGATCTTTACTGTTGTCGCGTGAGCAAAGGGCAAGAGTGCAAGATGTCACCAAACATGTCGAAAGGTCCAATGTGCGAGGCACGAGCCCAAACTTCTGCAGCAAAGCGGACACCTCCTGAACGAACCGTTGGACCACAGACCATAGATGACAATATGTCGGAACAAGGCATCAGCGTCCTCCGAGCTGCAGCTGTCAGGTACACCACGGAACAACACCTTGGCCAGCAAAACATATGCTTATGAAGGTACAACAATGCAGCATCCCTGTTCCTGGGCCTTGTTGGATAAGTTCAAGTCATTGGAGACCGCGCTGGCCTTTGCCGGAAGGCACGTATGCACGGGCTGAGCTGATTCCGGCGTCTGAGTGTGTGTCCACCATTTGGCAGCTGCTCGCTCGTGCAGAACGAGCGTGGCAGCCCAAGAGCGATGAGTTCGCTGGAAGCCAAGGGTGTTGCATGCAATTCATATAAGTCAGGCTGCAACACTCGCCAAGAAACCTGCCTACAACACGCGGCTTGAGACTTTTCCCAGCCGTGCGCTCCTGAAGATGGCCAAGAGCGCCTGTCGCTCAGCGTGTGGGCCGCGGTCGTGCTGCACTTGAACAGGAAGCAGCACATCTGGGGAGGCGGTATCAAAACAATCCACATCCGAGCCATACCCAGCACAGCGACCCCTCTGTTCAAGGCCCCTAACCGAGCAAGACGACCAGGCAGCCAAGTCTTTCGAGGTTGGCTCCTCTGCTGTTGAGACACCGCCCTGTGCCAAGGCACGCCTTGTGCTGCAAGCTGCCACGCTATCCCCAAAGCTCAAGGAAAAGCCCAGCTCCTCGAGAATTGAAAGGGACAACAACGGGCTCAGGCCAAACTGTCTTTCCAACACAGCGTTTTGCAGCCGGCTCGAGTCAGCTCGCATGCCCTGGCATAAGCCTGCTAGCTGGGTCTTGACGGGCACACCCACTCTGCGAGCTAGGTGGCAGTAAAGGTCTACATGAAGGCCGCCGTGCCAATGCAGGATCTCCGTGGCAACCACGGCTTGTGCTGGTCCAAGCATTGCACCTTGGGCTAGACTCGGCACCTCCTCAGGTGTCAAGCTGTCTTGCGCCCAGCTGGTCAAAGCCTGCAGGCACGCTGGCGCTTGCAGCCTGAGTTCGTTCCCCTCTTCTGCAAGACCAAGAACCGTCTTGAAGGTCACTGCATCACTCTCGATTGATGCGCCCAGATTCGAGGCCAGCAACTCTCCCGCAACCGCCCCTTGCATTGCGCACTGACATGTCATCGCAGCCAGGTTCCTGGCTATTCCCAAGGGCATGGATGCCATCACCATGTCTTCCAAGATGAGAAGGGCCGCTTCCCACGCATGCCCAGCACAACAGGCTTCCAAACTCGCGTGGAAGGTGGCCAGATCCGGGGACAACTTTGTGGCCCTGACATCTTGCAGAAGACACAGACCCATTTGCCAGCTCTCTGGCTGAGCGCAAGAGCCCAAAACTGTATTGAAAGTCACGAGGTCAGGCCAAGCAACGCCTTCAATCGAGTATAATAACGCCAGCGCCACTCGCCAATTGTGCAAGCTCGCGCAGCTTGAGGTTGCTACATTGCACGCAGTTGCGTCTGGCTCTACATGTCGGTCTCCGAAAGAGAGAAGGGTTGACATGGCATGCTCCCACTTGAAGCCAGCCTGACATGCGGACATGACCGTCGTGAGCATGATCACGTCAGGCTGCAGTTCCAGATTGCATCCGATCTCGAACAAGCTCAATGCTCTTTCCCACTGTCTTGTTGAACAACAGGCTCCCAAAGCTGTGTTGTAGATCCCCACACTCGGTGCATACCATCGTGAGACCAGGTCAACAATGCCCAAGACTTCCTGCCAAAGACCGGCTCCCTGACATGCTCTGAGCGTGGCGCTTACGGGAATATCACCTATCTTCAAGGAGCTTGTCTGCATTCCCAGTAACACATCAAGAGCCTGCTGCCACTGACAGCCCTTCTCACAAGCCGACACAGAGATGCTCAGGGCAATGGCATCCAATTCGAGCTTCGACTCACAAGCGTCCTCCAGCAGAGAAAGCGACAGTTGCCAAGACTGCTCTCTGGCACACGTTCGTGACACGATGCTAAGTGTAGCGATGTCTGGTTTCATACCCATGCCGGCCAGAACCTGGAGCGACATGGGCCACAAGCCATCTGTTTCCAACACGCTTAATAGCGCGTTGAAGTTCTTTACAGTTGGCTGCACATGTTCATGAGGCATGGATGCTAATATGTCCAGGGCCACTTGCCAGCCTGAGGCTTGCTGGCACGAGCGCATCAAGACATCATAGCTGACAGATGTCGGGCGCACCGATATTCTCATCATCTCTTGAAATCTCGATATGGCCTGCTGCCAGAGTCCAGCCTTCTCCAAAGCATTTATGGCAATGCTATAAGTAAAAACATTCGGGGAAACCTTGACAGCACTCATGCTCTCCAGAAGGTCAACGGCCTGCAACCAACGGCTGTTTCGTTCAAGGCAACTCATCGCCGTCCCAAAGATCACCACATTGGGGCACGGCATCTCCGCCAGAAAGGCAAGGGCCCTCGCCCACTCCCCTGCTCGCCCGCAAGCATTCATGGCTGCAGCCATTGGTACCTGCCAGTTCCCCGAGCGCTCCTTGCCAGATCCCTCGGGCGTGGCTTCCGCCACCAAGTGAAGCGCCAGCTGCCACTTCGATGCGCAAGCGGACACCGCCGCCCCACACGCAAAAGCATCAACCGGAACAGTGGAATCCTTCATGTGCTGTAGAATCGCGAGAGCAGCAGCCCAGTCTCCACAGGCCTGCAAGGCAGAAGTGAAGCTACGCTGGTCCAGTTGAAGGGATGCGTTTTGAGCATCTGCCAAAGCCGCCAAGGCCACTTGCCACAAACCTTGAGATGCTGCTGCCAAGGAATTGTAGGAAATGATGTCAGGCTGCAGCGCCACTCTTGGAGCTTCCACAATCAGCCCAACGGCCTGTTGCCACTGCTCCGAGCGCTGACACGCCGAAATGGCAGTATTGAGGACGATGACATTCAAGCCAAGTCTGAGATTGAAAGCCCCGTAGAAGTGGTCCAGAGCTTTCTGCCATTGCCTCTTTCGCCCCAGCTCACTGATAGCACTGCCAACTTCCTGCAAGCATGAATCAGTTCTAAAGTTCGAAAGCGGAAGGGAAGGCTTGCATTGGCACAGACTTAAACATGCTATTGCCTGAATGATTTGTCGGCGCACTTGCATGTGCTTTCAGAAAGAGAATAGGCCACTCCACAATCCTTTTTGACAAATCAATTCTGGACGTTCAGAAATTGTTGCGCTGCAAAAGCCCAAAGCATGTTGCCCATGCTGCCCAAAGCAGAACCCCTCGCTCAAGCACACAGGGAATTGGGGGTTGATCAAAAGGTCCTCTACACAGGATGACCATCCGGGAAAACCCAAAAATAATATTTCCCTCTAAATGGGAAAAGCTACCCATAGTCATTTGGGGGCCAGAATATTGATCAACCCTCTATTGTCCATGAACAAAAAGCGCCCCTGCAAAGTCCTTGCTCTTCGTCAGCTCGCTCTTAACGTTCGTACACTCCGCCTGCAACACGCTAAAATCGGGTCTGCCCCGCCCCCCTACT